AGGCAGATCCCTGTACATGATTTTCTGATGAGACCTGTCACTTCAAAGTAAACATCCTACCACTTGCAAATGGGTTCACAATTGCCAGTCATCTGTTTCCATTATCTTCTGAGACTCTAAACACTATAGAGACAAAGCAGCATCTACAAAAAGCAGTACAAAGCAAGCTGCCTACCAGGAAAAACAAACAAACAAACAAAAACACCAAAAAACCCCAACAAAAAAAACAACAAAAACCACCAAACAGTATTCTGTTTTGCAATACTGAAGTCACCCACAGAATCATAGAATGGTTTGGGTTGGAAGGGACCTTCAAAGATCATCTAGTCCAACCCCCCCCTGCAATGAGCAGGGACATCTTCAACTAGATCAGGTCGCCTAGAACCGCATCAAACCCTGGTCTTTTTCAAGCGAACTCAGAATTCTGTTTCTGAAAAGGTTTTCTTTACATTATTATAGTCCTGTATTCAAGGTATATCATCACCACCTGCATGCAGCTTATACCAGAGTGTGCTGAGTACACAAGCCTCAATTGTTAGTTTGCACCTGACCCCCTTCTGCAAGTTATTGTACCAACCTGCATGTGAACAGGCTGTCTGTCCCCCAAAAAATCACAGGAGGATGAAAACCAAGAAGTGGTGAAGGGGCTAGTGAGCAGTCTGATGAGAGAGAAATGCACTTAACATACTTGAGAAAATGTCTAGACTTATGTTACAGGAAATTGTATGCAGCCTTTAGCTGACACCACATGACTTTCCCATCTGGTACAGCTTGTTACTCTTACTTACCATAACTAGAGAAGAAAACTTTGCTGTTCCTCACACAGTCTGAAGATCATCAACTTTCTGGTTCCTACATGCCAACTGCTTCAAAGAAGGAATTACATAGGCCTTGAGAAATATTCTCACCACTCCATTTTCTGTTTCCACATCCTCCTTACTGTTCCACTTTTAATTTCCCTGAACTGGTCGTCTGCTCCTGCCAAGAGCAAGCTGCCTCCACAAAGGATTCCAGGTGCTGACATCAGCTCTGGCAGAGCACTGTGGATGGGTACACTTGAGTCTAGAAAAGCAGCTCTGGCCAGGGCAGCTTTCAAATACATATTTATGTGACAGACCATTAATTTGGTCTGATATGTGCATAAAGTATCCTGGCTACGTGGTTTGGGTTTATTTTTCAGAGGCAAGAGAGTTTCAGATTCTCCAATGTTCAATGTTTGTTTCATTTAGAAAATTATTGTCTAAAACTCTGATCTGAGTCTAACATATCTGTTTGCCTGTGTTAAAATAACAGGGATTTCAGTCTCTTCCAGCACGAAGTCCAGTACGAAACATGAACAATGGAAAACCAGCAGTAAGTGTGACATCTGTATTGCAACTGCATGGTTTTGGTTTGAAACATGACAGTGTACACATCTTGAGAGAGATTTGTGATAATTGCTCTTCAAATTCACATTTCATTTATATATATAAAATCATTTTATATTATATATTATTACATTACATATTTTATATTATATATCTAATCATTACTATATATTCTATTATATATAGATTAAATATATCAATATATATTCACATTTATTTATGTGAATATAATATTATTTATTATATCACTTTAGATATTTACAAATACACTACTTTAACTGGTTTAGAAATCTCAGAGACAATTTTAAATTGTTTCCTCCAAATCTGTTTTTATCATCCTAGCCCCTTTCTCATCTCAAAGGAAACAAAAATGCTAATTCTGATTTAGTAATACCTCTTTACTTAGCGATAGTACCTACAATAAAACAGTAATTTCTAAGTTAATAATATTGTTGCACTCAAATAATTAAAAAAAATAATTAGAATATTGTCTATCTTCATGGTGCTGGGTTTTTTAGGTAGACAATTCAGAATCTAAGCATTCATTTACAATACTTAAAAACAGTAAGACAAATACAGAAAGGCAACTGAGTTACATCTAAAACAAAAAACAAGCAGAACTCCACAAACACACAACAAAAAGTGTGGATTAGTTTTTGCATCTATACTGTTTGATTCAAGCATGCTACTTGTATTTGCTAACAGTGAATTTTTGGATGGTGTATGGTCACTTCTTTCTACTTATTTCATACTTGTAGGATTTGAGATTGTGTTTGTGTGATAACTCCAAGACTTCTACTTTAAAATATTATCTGCTTTAAAATAATTTTATTTTTTAGGTGTATATAACCTTCATGGTTTCCTTAATTTTCACAGAATCCTAGAGTGGTTTGGATTGGAAGGGACCTTATAGATCATCTGGCTCCAATCCCCATGGCATGGGCAGGGACACCTTCCACTAGACCAGGTTGCTCAAAGCCCCGTCCAGCCTGGGCACTGCCAGGGATGGGGCAGGCACGGCTTCTCTGGGCAACCTGTGCCAGGCCCTCACCACCCTCACGGGGAAGAACTTCTTCCTCACATCTCATCTAAATCTGTCCTCTTTCAGCTTAAAGCTGTTCTCCCTTGTCCTGTCTCTACCTGTCCTTGTAAAAAGTCACTCCAGCATTTTGTAAGCCTCCTTTAGCTATGGGAAGGCTGCTGTAAGATCTCCTCAGAGCCGTTTCTTCAGATAAATTTCAAATTATTTCTGCTAGGGATCTCAGCTTTAAGAAATGTAATGTTAAGGCAGGAGCTATCTGTCATACCTGGTATGGAAGGTACCAGTTCTTGTTCTGGCAGAAGGAGGGAAGGTCTAGTGTGTTTTCAGATATATGCCTTCTGCTACAAACTTTAAAAAAAAACCCAAAAAACAAACAAAAAAAACCCAAACAAAACCCACAATAAAATTGGTGACTTTTCTTCTTTCTTTCTCCAGCTGCATCTGGTGGCTTTAAACTTGCCATCTTCTGGTGACATTCGAGCAGATTTTCAGTGCTTTCAACAGGCCCAACTAGCAGGTTTGACATCTACATATAGAGCCTTCCTCTCATCACATTTGCAAGATCTGGCAACAGTTGTCAGAAAAAACGACCGAGAACATTTACCAATAGTCAATCTTAAGGTAAAAATGAATACTTGATATTTGTTTTATTAGGACGGGCTGTAATTGCCCAAAAAATCTTGGAAAATGGCAAAAAGCAGAAAGTTTCAACCCAAGCTGCATCTTATAGAGAAGAAGATTTCCTTTGTATTTCAGAGTCAGGTTCAAACTCCAAAAAAGTAGTGAGAAAGTTGAAAGTTACAGATTGTTTCACATTTCCCTCACATTTTCAAAGGGTTGATTTTTTCCAGTATCCTAAGGCTAATGGCAGAAATAAAGCTATGAGAATAGTCTATTTTGAGCAGACCACTGACAAAGCAACTGTACAATGTTCAGCTTTCTAGATATTTTTTATTCCAGGGAAAGTGCATCCTCATTTCTCAAAACCAGGTATGTCCTACCTTCTAGTATGATTACAGAGTATAGTAGACTAAAATGCCCATTTTTCTTATTCCTCAACATAAAGGCAAAGCCTGCTTAGGAGTGATGCTGGACTTACCCCAGTGAAACTGAAAGTCTAGAGCATGAGTCACTTTGTGGTCTCACGTAAACAGACACTGTAAAACTGAGGAAAACAAACCATGTCTCCATAGCATTGGCTGGGTCCCAGAACAAACGACCAAAGAAACCTAAAGGAATAATATGTGATGCTTAGAACATGCTGAATGGATGCTACTCTGAAGTGCATGCAAATACGGAGCTTTGGAAACAAATCTGTAAACACAGTATTATTTCAACTTTGACTGAAAAAAAGCAAAATCAGGTAGCCTGATTCTGAGGTAGCCTGATGCAAGGCTTTTTCCTTGATCATTTGCAACAAATGCCACAATTTTCACAAAATTATGACCTCAACAGAATTTCCAACACAAATTATCTATATATTTTGTCTATAGCCAGTTCTAAGCAATTATTCAAAGAACTCCTTAGGCAGTGAGGGAGAGAAGGATAGTGGAAATGGAGATGATCAAGCTGACTAGTTGGAGTGACAATACAACTGAGATGCACCTGTGAGGCAAAGGTGTGAACCAGAGAGCTATTAGCATAGAGATGATAGATCAGACAAGTTTATTCAGGAGCACCATGCAGAAACAGATATGAAAACTGGAATCGTAAGTGTCCTAAAATTCAGATGAGCTTTTAGATGTATAGATAAGTCTATAAGAATCAGGTATGATGTGGATTTTGGATTTATTTATAAAAATAGCTTTGAATTTTAACAGGGAGAAACACTTTTCAGTAACTGGAATTCTATATTTAATGGAAATGGTGGACAATTTAACATTCATGTTCCAATATACTCCTTTGATGGGAGGAACGTAATGACCGATCCATCTTGGTGAGTTTACACTACCATTTACAAGACTTGCATGACATTTATTTTTACCAGATAGTACAAGTAGCAATATTTTGGCCTACTAGAAATTATGTCACCTTTCTTCTCAAATTCCAATAGCCTATGAATGGGATATCAGGTTGTGTTCTCCTCTACTTCTTCTCTTTTCTACCTTAATATTTCTTTACCCACTGCTTGATTCAAGCCGGAGAAAAGTAGAAAAACAGGCCACCACATATGTAGGTGTGCAGTTAAATAAAGAAAAACAAAACAAAACAAAACAAAAAAAAACAAAAACCCAAAACAAAACAAAAAAACCAAAAACCCAAAACCAAACAAAAAAAAAACTTTTTCATGAAATAACTTCTAAACATTACTTTTCAGGCCTCAAAAAGTAATATGGCATGGTTCAACTACAAATGGGATCCGACTGGTTAGCAACTACTGTGAAGCCTGGCACACAGCTGATATAGGAGCTATGGGACAAGCATCACCGCTGAAGACCGGGAAACTTCTTGATCAGAAAGTATATAGCTGTAGTAATCAGTTTATTGTTCTCTGTATTGAAAACAGTTTTGTATCAGATCCCTAAGGAAAATAATTCATCTGTTGCACATAGGAATATTCCATTTTATGACAGAAAAAGCTGACACTGAAATTTCATTTGTAATGATGTAAATATTTTATTTTTTTGTAATTGCACATTTCAGGAAAAAATAGCCAAAGAAAACATACCTCAACACAAACTGCATTCCAGTTAGGTGGAACATCAAGTCACATGTGGCTGACTTAAAGCCCATTTTTTCACTTGAAACCCCCACAGTTCAAAGATTGCCAACAATTAATTCACAGAGCCTTGGCTTTCTGGATGAGCTGAAGATCACTCAAGAGTAAAGACATTCAAGTGTAGATTATGAGAAGGTCCAGTAGCCTCTCTTAAGACGTATGGCTCAGCAAGGCTGCTGCTTCTTCACAGCTGAAAAGCTGCATGCCCTATGATCTTCTTTTCACTTGCATAGGCTTTGAATACCCAAGGCAATATTCATATACATATATATATACTGCCCCTGAGCAAACAATGGAAGGCTGTTACATCTTGGCTGGAATATTCAAAAAGGCTTTAAGAACAAAGGTGCTCACCTCCTTAGATTTCAGAGGAAGCTGAGTACCTAACTCATGTAAGCTTGCACGGATTGCAGCCTGGTGCTTACACATAAATTTAGCAGCTTCTACATCTTACTTCAGCTTTTTTTCTTGCAGATTCTAGGCATAGGGCTTTAGGCAGGAGGAATGAATTTCACTTAGACAAAATCTGCTCTTTATTTTGGTGCTATTGTTACCAGGAAACCTGAAGCAATGTTAATAGAAAACATCCTGTTTCACTGGTAGAACTGTGCAAAGTAAATGCAGACAAACAAACCATCTGACCTATATTTATTTCATTGCGTATTAAAGGAAGTAATTTCCTGTTGTGGCAGACTACTGAATGGAAGATGTCTGTCATGGTTTCTTTAAAATAGGTTCTAGACATGTTAAACCACTAAGTTATATACAAAGTTATTTTACTTTTTGTGAATATACCATTCTGGAATTCACATAATTAAAGAATTGTTAATATAAAATAACAGCAGCAATGATAGGAATGATCAGTAAATGCTAATATTCTTTGCAAACAGTACCACCATAATATCTAAAGTCTTTTGCCTATATATTTTTCTACTGCATACTTTAAACAACGTATTTACTTGTATTTTATCAGGCAGTAACTAAGGAGGTCAAACTCCACATTATCATTTTTTAAGATTTAATCTAGAGTCTGTGTTGGAAATACATGTTCATAAGCTGACAAACAGTATTAAATCACTAGATTTAATTCAAAACACAAAAGCAACCTACACTGATATAATCATGTAACATTGTGACATACAGCTTTGGTTTTCCATTTTACTATAAAAGCTTATTTCCCAGGGTCAGCTGAATCATATCTTCTTTTTTCCTTGGAAAAGTCATGACTCCATTGTTACAACATGCTAATGAGGCAAAAGCAGTTTATATTACGTTTAAAATGTATGCATAACAATTCACTGCACTCATTTATAGTCCATTTCCTTACAGTACTGAGCACCCTTGTGAAATACCGAATTCCTTCAGTTCACACAGTTGGAAGAGTTGTATATGTATGACAGGGTTTCACTCTGAGTCACTGAAGGCTCAAAGAGGAAAATAAAGTGCTTTCACACATGTCCAGCAGGAATCATCTACCTTTAAGCCTTTTGTTGGTAGACTCTCGGCTCAGCCAAGTCATGGCCAGTGGGGTTTGAACTTGCAGCCAGTCATCACCCAGCCATCACTATCAGTTCTTGATCTTCCACTCCTGAGCTAGAGCCAGCAGCTAGGGAGCTGGCTATTTCTTTGCCTGGAATTGCAGTGGTAAGAGGTGAGGGAGAGATGGGATCACACAGAAGAGCTGTGTGAAGGGAAAGAGAGAAGACTAAAAAAAACATGCAGTTCTTAGGAGATACTGAACTAGCATTTAAGTTGGACCCAGCAAAACTGTGTCCAGAACTCCGTCTGTGCCCCTTTTAAAGGGCTAATCCCCTCTCCGTAACCTGTATAGCTGTGACAGCTTAGCAGGAACTGAAATGGTTAAGCACCATCACTGAGATATTAAAGAACCCTCAGTGGTTGCTTGACACTTCTACTGTTAATCTGCAGGCTAGAGGAATTCATTGCACCCTTCAACTTCATATACAGAGCATGAACCATGAATTTTCTGGGCTGCTGGGTGCTGAGTTCACATGCTGCGCTCACACGTCAGCAATGGAGCTAGCCTACCAGAGAATGGAATGAGAGACATGTTGAAAAGTGAGGTTTTCCTTGGAAAAAAACACACTTTTTCTAATTTTTAACCAGAGCCAATGAGGTTCTTTGTACTCCCTAGTATAACTGAAGAGAAACAGTACGGCATGACAGAGAAAAAAAAAAAAATCAGCCCAGTACTTAAAAATAAATTAGCTTTCTCTATCAGAGCAGAATACTTTTTTCAGCATGATTCCGACACAAAGCTCAGGTGCACTTGAGGAAGAACATTTGCTAATTCAGGTAAGGAACTGTGTATAAAGCAAATTAATCACCAGAATGAGCACCAGAGCAAGGCTGAAAAAGTAACTGCACTAGAAACCAATGCAGGAGTCTGAACGAATGAAATCAGAGTATTAGTCAAATAAGCTGCTTCTGCTTTTAAGAGGAAAGCTTTGGTTGAAAACATCCATTTATTTTGAAGCTTTGATGTACTTGAAAATGATCAAGTGCACTTACAGAATACACTGTAAACACAGATGAAATGAAAATCGTCTAAACTATGAGAACTCCAGGGCTAGTTGACAAAAAAAATACAGCAGATCCATTTTAGCTATTGGAATGAGTATTTCTAGATATCAAACTGATAGATTTTCTTTTGTACGAATTAGAAGTGCAAGCTATAACAGAAGCTTCCTTTCAATCAAAAAGAATCCACAGTGGGGCTTGCACTTCCGCAAAACAGTTGGTGCTCCATTAAAAATAATTAAAATATAATTTTAATTAATCTGGTGCTTAATCGGGGCGGGGGGGGAAATCAGAAAAAAAGTGGGGGTGGCAGGGGGAGAAAAAGCCAACCAGAGCAAAGCAGCAAGGTCTAGGAAAAGTAATAACAATTTGAAAAAGGAATATTGAATTGTCACTGGAGAGATTAATTTATTTATCATGGATACTTTCTGGGGAAAAAAAAAAAAACACACTTTTTTCCATCCTTGCCATTTCACACCCCATAGCTGTGTTAGTCTTTAACTGTTTATCAGCTTATTTGACGTCACGTGAATGCTGTATCAGGATGGTGACTTCCTGACAACCAATTCACAAACCTAAGCCCAACAAAATGTGGCATCCCTTCAACTCACTTTCTTACAGTTCTATTTTTCATTATAGCAAATACTTCCCCACAGGGCCATATTTGTACTGAATTGTGAATATAAGCAGTGGATTGCAGACACCCCACAATCCTCTTATGGCCCTTTAAAAAGTCTTTTGCCCTTCAGCTCAAGGATCTTTCCTCTGGGCAGCTGTAAAATGTGACATGTTACCATTGATCAGTAGTGTGCTGCTCTGCCTGGATGAACTACAGTGAGATAAGTGATTTCTCCTCTCACTGCCATTATAATAAGCAAGCCAAACCTATGATTTTCTGCAGTCCAGCATAGACACTTCAAAGGACTGACAATTAAGAACACTAGTCTTGGTGGTTTAATCAAAGACTGTCCAGCCTTGTTTCTGAGCTGTACATTCAGGTGAAAGAGGAAAGAATGAATTCCAGTATGTACTGCTTTGAAGACTGCAGAGTCTTTTGCATTAAGGTTTACATGTTTCAGAAGAAACATTTAAAGAGCTCCAACAGGGAAGACTTCAGAAGAAGTAACATTTGCAACTCCTGTTTTCACGCCAGTCCTCTGCCTGGAGAAGAAAACCTGTCTTCTAAATTTTAAAGGAATTAGATGCTAGAATTGCAAGTTCACTTCATTGTTCAAGTATGGGAGTTAATGGTATGCATATACCCTCAAAACCATCTGATCAGCGTTTGGCTGTTACCAGCTGAGCTAACCTTTTTTTACTTCCCAGATTCTCTTCCACTTTATCCATTACTAAAAAAAAAAAAAAAAAAAAGAAAGAAAAAAAAGTCCCACAAAAACAACACCACAAAAAAACACAAACAAAACTGTTCTACTCCTAAGTAATGGCTATGTATGCACAACCTAATCTGGAAGTACACCCAGTGAATGGTTCAGCTCTAGCAGTATTAGACTTTTCCTGGGGGGAGAAGGAATGAGAAGTCAGAACACATCTACTTCCTCTATAGGCAGGAACAAGAAATGCAATGTGGCTTTTTTTTCATTTGTACTTTCCTCCACCTCATGATTGACCTCCTCCTTCACTTGTCTTTTCCCTAACCATTTGTCTTTTATTTAAAACTTGTGTGGCTCCTCCAGTGAAAAGCTGGACATCATTTGGAGCTGCCCAGGAAAGTTCCAACTTTCACATGGATCTTCTGCACTCTGTTTTCCACAGCACCCACATAAGCAACGAAGGTTAACTTCCATTTGTGTGTGCTTTGCTGGGAGTACTGTGTATAGGCAGTAGGACGGAAGAGAGTCCAGAGAGGTCCCTTTGGAGTCAACAAGAAACCACAATTCCTCCTTCCCTTACAAAGCAGCTAACTTCCTGCATGCTCCTCCAAAGTACTACACTGTAGCTCTTTCAAACTCAGTGCACAGAATTACAGACAGGCTGTGGGAATTTCTGCCTGTGAAGTCAATTCAGCATCACACTCTGGTGCTGGTCAGGGGTAACACTAACCTGCTTTCCTCAGCTGGTCTCAGGGGGTACTTGTGATGCTTCAGTGGAAAAGGGAGTGACACCCCTGTCTGACTTTATCAGAAGTACCTAAGATCACCTGCAAATTCAAATTCAAGCCAGGATAATGATGACAAGAATGATCGCAGGAAAGGTAGGAAGGTATGTTTTATATGCTGCACTTGAAGTTTGTTCATATGAACAGCACCAGGCGATGTCCTAACAGCCCTTTCTCCACTGCTCAGTATCAGTATTTCCTCACACTCATTTTGTTTGGCTGCCTTTGATTCCAGATATAGTCACAAGATCCACAGCAATGACTTGCTACTGGAAAAATGTATCTCCTCACTGAGTTAGGGGATGGGTTAATGTTAATCTCTGAAAAATGGTTCACTGTTGTTTAGCTTTGCTACAGATTATGTATTTTAACTCTGCAGGCTGCAAGGTCTCAATAGAGGCTAGTTACATCTCTGAGGCTACATCTATATTAGGAAATTATCAGGGTGAGGGTACAGAAGATAGCACAAATAGCATGACTGATTGCTGAACTATTTATTCCCCAGTACAGTTCTGGTCAGTGCCACCTGCAACCCTTCCAGAGGTTGCACCCCTTGATTCTACATCATATTAGGGCAGGATGAGTGGTTTATGTTTAGCTCATGAGTTTGCTAAATTCTCATTGTGATGTTGACCAAAACCAAACCCAAAAGCAGTAGATTTCCCTTTTTTCAGTTGGGGATTGTTCATCAGCTTCATCAGAACTCAGCAGCAATTTCTAACTTGTTGATCAGATTATTTTCAAGTCCATGTTTCCTTCCAAGGAGGTATACTCCAGTGGGCTCTGAGCCTTCACAAGTCCCTGGGGCTCGGGAATTCCCTAGGGTACATCCATGAAAAGGTTGCTTCAGAAGCATTCACTGCAGCACGTTTTCACTATTGTGTCCTTCATTGACATTAGTTCTGCCTACAGAGTGAGAATCTGGCTCATTCTCAGCAGCTTTTTCCCACACCACTACTTTGCAAAGCTTATCATTATAGTGAAGCCATTCTCAAACCACAAACTTAGTCATTTTTTGCTCTTGATCTCAAACATCCAGGATTCAGAAGTAGCCCATATCAGGAAGACAGGGCGATCTTGGTTTAAACCCAGTTAGCCACACAGTTTCTACCCACCCCCACCTCTTTCTTTCCTTCCGCCACCCCACCCCACTCCCCTCCCCTGCTCCCAGAGTGATAGGAAGGAGAATCGAAAGAATGTAACTCCCACGGGTTGAGATAAGAACAGTCCAGTAACTAAGGTATAACACAAACCACTGCTGCTGCCACCAATGATAATAATGGTAAGTGAAATAACAAGGGAAGAGAATGCGATACCACCTGCCGAAACGAGCCCAACCAAGAAGAGAGTGCATTTCTGGGTAAGTCCCAGTTACCACCCTGGGCATGACGTGCTGTGGTATGGAATACTTCTTTGGCTAGTTTGGGTCAGGTGCCCTGCCCCTGCTTCCTCCCAGCCTCCTCTCCTCCCTGGCAGAGCATGAGACTCACAAAGTCCTTGGTCAGAGTAAACATCGGTGTTATCAGCTCTGTTCCCAGGCTGAAAGTCAAAACACAGTGCTGAACCAGCTACTAAGAAGGAGAAAAATTGACTGCTACTGCTAAACCCAGGACAACTTACAAGTCAGGGTCTTTCAAACATACCCTGCGGCTGTTTGCCCCCACTGTTGAGATATCGAGAGCCAAGACCATTGTACAGAGCTAAGTGGCTAACAAGTTGTGAGATTTCACTGAAATTTGCTGTGGCAGTGCTGATATAAGTAATTAAAACATACACAACTGACAAAGCTTGAGCACTGGGGGGCTTATTTACAAATGTTTTCATTCTTGAGACTGCAGAATGTCCATCTTGACCCCTTTTTCTAAAAGTTTACAGAAATTCAAAACAGCATACATAAGACTGTTGTTTGTGCAAAGGGTTCAGACACAGCCAAAGCTGATGCCACACATTAATTCACATGAATTAAAAATGGACACAGATTGCTAGTCAGAAGGGGTACTTATTAATAGCCACAGTTAATTGAGATTCATAGACTGAATGTGTATTCACTACCTCTGTCCCTGCTTGCCTGTAGTTTGATATGTCTCAGAATGGTAAAACGTCAGCTAATGGTAGAAAGTCATCTAATCCAACTCCCTGCTCAAAGCACAGCTAAGCTAACTTGTAAATTAGGTCTTCTCAAATTGCAGTTGGAAGAACTGAAGGTGCACAGTGTGCTCACAGATCTTCCCTCCATTTTAAGAAGGCAAGAAGCTGGTATACACATGTGCCATGATATTTTTCTGCTAGGGCAGGAAAGTATCTAGCTGATGTTACCAAATTGTCAGAAAAGGTCTGTGGCCTGGGCCTCTCAAAATATATCTCCTGAAGAAAGGCCTCTGTTTTTTACAAAGAAAAGGCTGGGGGAGAAGAGAAAGACAAGTTAATTGCATCTAACTCAGTCGTCTCCCAGTATCCACTCTTTTTTTCTGGGAAAAAAGGCAGCCAACCCTCCCAGCCTAGCTATTGATTATGTATCAGAGGACACTGCACACCTTAGGCACACACTAACAAAGTCCTGTTCTCAATCAAGTGCCAAAGTCATGGAGTCACAGTACCTTTCTTACAAAAACCCAATGACTCATCATCAGGAAAAAACATCATGAATACTGATGAATAGCCTAGAGGAGGGACCAAAATAGTCACAGCTGTATCTGCTTTTACTGGTACACTCTGTAGGACATGAGGTAAGAAGGGAGAAGTAAGACAAGTCAAAAGGAGGAATAATAAAGCACTGGAGTTGTGGTGAATTCCATGAATGAGAAGTTAGAAGAAAATAGCAACTTATCAGCTCTGTGTAGGTTTTATAAAAGTGACTCTGAAGGTGGTAAACAAGCTAGTCTACAGGTTGGAGCTATAAAAGGGACAGTGAACTCAAGAGATGTTTGTGAAGAGCAGCCCAGTAAATCCAATACATGTCAAACACAGTGACAAAAAGGATTTATGTAGCCATGTCCAAAATTCATGATCCTCTATCTTTCCCTCAACCACTGGTAAATATCTGTAGGCAACTGTAAGTCTATTCACACTCTGGGCAGTTAAAGAGCAAGAATATCTTTCCATAGCCCATGAATAAGAATCCAGACACTGAAAGAGCTTGGAGTAGCAGTCCAAAT